GCTATTGTAATCAAATGCCTATATCACCCAGCTCGAAGAGGAGCTTGTCAAGTTTCAAAAATATAAGATTGAATGGTTCCATATTGAAACAAAGGGTGAAGGGAACAAAGAATTCCTAAATATAATTGAGATCACCCAAGGACATAAGAAAGTCCTAAGAGACTATACCCGCATTATCCACTGGTCTCTACTATGCTAAAATCGATATGATCGAAGCTAATATGGCAATGAACAAAGAGTTCATCAAGAAATTCACTTTATGGCATGACCGGCTTGGCCATCCGGGTCATAGTATGATGCGTAAACTAATAACTAATTCAAAGGGGCACACCCTAAGAGAGAAAAGAGTTATCCCTAAGAATCTCACGTGTGAAGCATGTTCACAAGGGAAACTCATTATAAGGCCATCACCGGCTAAGGTAAATAAAGAGACCTTAAAATTTCTGGAAAGGATACAAGGAGACATATGTATGGTCCTCATTGATGCATCGACAAGATGGTCGCATGTTTGTCTCCTATCTACTAGAAACCAAGTGTTTGCTAGGTTATTGGCCCAGATAATAAGACTGCGAGCCCACTTTCCAGATTTTCCGCTTAAGACTATACGTCTAGACAATGCCGGTGAATTCACGTCCCAAGCGTTTAATGACTACTGTATGTCCATGGGGGTAAGTGTGGAACATCCCGTAGCACATGTACATACACAGAATGGATTAGCGGAATCCTTCATTAAACGAATTCAATTGATAGCTCGACCATTACTCATGAGGTCGAAGCTCCCAGTAGCCGCTTGGGGACACGCTGTTTTACATGCATCAGAACTTATACGCATAAGGCCATCTAGTGAACATAGATATTCACCATCCCAATTACTTATGGGTCATGAGCCAGACATATCCCATCTAAAGACTTTCGGGTGTGCCATATATGTACCGATTGCTCCACCACATAGAAACAAAGATGGGACCTCAAAGGAGGATGGGAATATATGTTGGATTTGAT